GGGGAGGCTCGGACAGGAGAGGCGCAGCCCCACGCGCACAGACACACTCACACCTGACACACAGACCGGCGCCGAGGAAGAGACGAGACGCAGGGGGACCCCTGGACGGCGCCCTCACGCTGAGACGCCGCGGACGGAAACAAAGGCAGACGCGCACACGGACGTGGACACTGAGGGACCCCGGAGAGACCGAGACGGGCAGCCGACACACACACGAGCAAAGGCGACACACGGGTCCACGCAGACACACGCGAAGACCCACTCAAAGAGACGGCCCGGGAGCCTCACCCCAACTTACACTCAGCCACAGGGATCACGTTCACCAGCACAACCCAGCCCAGACCCGCACTCTTTCTACTTCCGACCCCGCCCCGTCCGCGGCCAAACTTAACGCGCGGCTCCGTCAGGAAAAGGATGCGGGCCCACTAGGCCCCCGCCCGCAGTGCGCCTGCGCGGACGGACAACTACACTTCCCAGAAACCCGCGCGCCGCCACCACCGCCCCGCTACGCCCAGCACCGCCCAGCGAACTCCAGAATCGGCTGTGACGTTTCCTGTCCCAGAGGAACCCGCGGCACTGCGATCCAGAAGGGATTCTTGAGGGATTAGGATGAAAGGCGCGCACGGGAGCAAGGTGAGGGCGAAAGACCAGCGAGAGCAGGACCAGGGCCAAGCCGGAGCCGGGCGGGAGCAGGGAGCAGGAGCCAGGGACGGGGAGGAGAGGGAGAGAGGAATGCCGGGAGACGGAGAGGGGACAGGCAGCAGAGCGAGCTGCAGGGTCGGGCAGAGGGAATTCCAGAACGAGCGGGGCACAGGTGGAGGCGGGAAAAGCACCCTTAACGCCTCTGCAGACGTCCTCCCTCCAGACGGGGATCCTGTAATACTGACTTGCAGAAAATTTGTAGAGCGTGTGGAGACGCAAATGATCGTAACCAGCATAGAAATAGTAGCCCTTAGCGTTATGTGCTCGTCCCTGTTCTGGGCATGTTATTGTTATAGAACCAAAGTGGGAGTTCCGCTGCCGGCTACCCCCAGAAGGCAAACTAGAGACAGAGGGTGGTAGGAAAGGAAGGTTTTTCATTCACCGCAGGTGCTGTTGAGCAGTCACCCAGGTACCTCAGCTCACTCCGGGCCGCTGTCCGGGTTCAGGCCCCCTCCTAGAACCCGCAGGCCCAGACATCGGCCAGGCCGCTTCCAGGGCCGCAAGGTGCCGCCAGCACACCGGCTCGTACGTTGGCAAGGTGGGCAAGAAAGCGGCGCTTCTTTACCGTGGGTTTATATTAGTTTCAGCGGTGGGACTGTCGCATGTCCAATGAACTTCTCAAAGTTCAGCACGCTCCCTTAGGGGCACCTGGGACCAATCATGAGAGAGATTTGTTGTTCCACTTATTTATGAATTCATTGGTTAATTCTTGAATGTGCCCTGACCCGGATGAAACCTGGCAACCTTGGTGTATTGGGGGGATACTTTAACCAAGTCAGCTACCTGGCCAGGGCCACTTTTGTTTTTCTTAACAACTATAGAGAATTAATCCCACTGTGTGGATATGTCTAGTTATTGTGACCCCTTCCCCCAACTAGAAGACATGCAGGTTATTTACAAAAAGTGATCATTTGAGATCCTGAGACCCATGTGGAGAGGCCCAAACTCAACTTGTGAAGGGAATCACCAGGATTTCCCCAGTGCAATCCGTGCCCAATGATCTTTCTGTTTCATTGCTACTGAAAATTCTTCAGTTTATTCTGCAAAACAAAAGGAGGATTGAAATGAAAAGAAAAAAACAAAACAACTCACTTAGCTGCCTCAAACCTTGAAGACTCCAGTCACATGGGGTGTCTGGGGTGCAATGGAGAAGGGCAGAGAGTTGCCAAGTCCACTCAGAGAAATATGTGCCTCCTCCCCACCCCCTCGTAAGATTTTTCTGCCATCTGACTAGTGGGGTTAACTTTCTAAACAGTCTTTATAAATCAAGTGATATGTATTTTTTTATTGATTGATTTTAGAGAAACAGGGGAGAACGATCGATTTGTTGTTCCGCTCATTCATGCGCACATTGGTTGGTTGTGACCTGACTGGCATCTAACCCACCATCCGGGTGGATGGAGACAATGCTCCCACCCAGTGAACCACCAGGATGGTCCCAGTTTGAGGATAGGTGGGTAAGAACACTGTGCCCTTTCTGCCCACTGGACTTTTTCAGTAAATTAGCAACTGTACTGCAGTTAAATAACCTGTATGTTAGTCAAGAGTCTGTCAAAAGGGCACACAGACTGCACACGCAGTGACTGACAGTAGTCAGAGCTGTTATGTTCAGTGAGAGGGCCCAGTTCACAGATACGTGGCCAGGATTCTAAGGGTTAATCCACACAAAGTATTTAGGACAGACCCAAAGAAGTGTAGTTAGTGGTGGTGTTGCTATGGGCAGAGGACCCATCAGATTTATAAAAAGCAACAGAAGCTTTAGAATATATAGTAATATAGCAAAGCCTTTATTAATTAAAACAATTTTTTTCTTTTATTGTTTCTAGCGAGAGGGGAAGGTAGGGAGAAAGGGAGGGAGAGAATCATCAATCAGAGAGAGAAACATCAATTGGTTGTTTCTTGCAGTATCCCTGACCCGATACCAAACCCACAAACCAGGCATGTGCCCTGACTGGGAATTGAACTGGTAACCTTTTGGTCTGTGAAACAATGTCCAAGCAAATGAGTCACACCGGACAGGGCAAAAAAAACTAAGGCTTTAGAGCAGCACGATCCATTGCAGTAACCCATAGCCAGAGGTAACTATGAAAACTTAAATGAATTAAAATTAAACACAGGTCAGGGCACATACAAGATCAACCAATAAATGCATAAATAAGTGGAACAACAAGTCATTGTTTCTCTCCCCCTTCCTCTCTGTAAAATCAATTTTAAAAAATCAAACAGGTAAAAATTCAGTTCCAAGGTTGCACCTGCCATATGTCAAGTTCAAGTGCCCCATGTAGCCAGTGGCCCCCACGCAGACAGCACAGACAGAGCCTTCTGCACAACTGCTGGGGGCAGCCCTGCTCCAGCAGGTCCCAGCACCTGCTGTAGGAACCGTGTGTGAAGTAGCTCAGGAAACCCACCTAATGCCATAGGGCAGGTTTCCTTACTCAATCTCCTTACAGGCAAGGACACCACCAAAGCTCAGAAAATGACCCCACTGATCGGAGCAAACAAAGCTGGGGTGTGAACCTGGGCAGACCTGGTACCGGAGCTCCTGCTCCCAACCTGTTCCAGTCAGTTACCTCCTCCTTACGCATCTTGTTAGCGCTGCTGGGGAGATTCCGCTTCCTTCCCTTCACCTCATCTTCCTTCTACCCCTTCCCTTCTGCCTCCTCCAAGCTCCTCCCCCTTCATTTGTCCCATCCACCATGTCCCAGTGCTGCAGTGGGGAAGCTGGGGGAAGAAGTGGCCATGTCCTCCCTGCCACACAAGGGCAGACCGCTCTCCCCAGGACAGACAGCTGCTGGAGCCCCACCCACACGCAGCAACCGCTGAGTCCCTAGGACACGTACGTTCACTGGCTCTGGGTTTTCCTCAGGAAAGTATCAGAGCTCTGAGCCTTGGTTTCCACCGCGGAAATCCTGGGATAATAACAGGGCTCTGAGCAGTAATTATTGATCCATTTATAAATAAATACTTTTATGTTATCCTTTATAAAGCACCCTTCTTATATCATTTGCTGTATATTGCTTGTAGATCATTATCATCAATAATGACACATAGATGGGGTAACACGTCCGTCTCACTGAAGGCACTTTATTTTCACAGGAAATCCAGCTGGCACGGGGTGGGTGGGAGACAGACCATGATCTGACAGGATTCTTCTGAAACTGAAAGAGCCCTACTGGGAGGGGGCACCAACCTGCAGGGTTTTTACAGGAGGTCCTTCCCCCCATCTCTGAAGCAGAGGCTAGGCCCTGCCTTCTGGTCTGACCAGTCCCAAGTCAGGAATGCAGGGACGGGAGAGGCAGGTGGCCTCATACCTGGGGCAGGCTTGCTGGGTTCCTGGGGTTCCAGTGGGGAATTTGTGCCTCCTCCCCCCAAGGGTCTCAGGACACTCATTTTGACAGGACAAAGGTACCTGTACCTTTTGCACCTGAGAATTGTTTAAAATGACATTAGTTGCCATTACTTACAAGTTTTATTTAGAAAGAATTTTTGAGTTCCATCCTGAGAACCAAAAGGTTGTCAGTTTGATTCCCTTTCTAGGGCACATACCTGGATTGCGGGCCAGGTCCTCAGTAGGGGGCATGTGAGAGGCAACCACATACTGATGTTTCTCTCCTTCTCTTCCTCCCTTTCCCTCTCTTTAAAAATAAATACATAAATAAATAAATAAAATATTAAAAAGAATTTAACAGACCACCAAGAGAATCTGTGCCATCTGAACAAATTACTATTACACCCTAAGTCTGAAGAAATTTTTTTTTCCCATCATGAACCACTTGGCAACTTCTACTGTTACATGGAAACCAGGAGCTGGGTGTGGAGAAAATGAGGACACCCACAGATGGCGACATCCTGATCTCTGGACTAGACTAGGCCTGTATGACAAAGGGAGAATGCCCCATGGAGCCCACCTTCCCCACTTTCTTTCTCCTTTCCCTCCTCCACTTAACAATCCAGGAGATGGAGACCAGAGACACTACACTGGTGCAGGTAGAACAGTTTACTTAATCTCGGTCTGCAGCCTTAGTGCCCTGCACATGTTCCCAGATACTAGACCTTAGTGGGGCTTGCTCTCCACAGCAGTGGAAGCAGCTGGTCTGCACGGTGAGGTCTGTCCCCAGCACCCACATTTCAAAGACCTGACTGGGCAGATCTTCTGTTACATCCTACCTGTGAGTTCCAATGTCACCTCTGTCACTGAGGCATGGGCTCAAGACCTGCCCATTGGGCAGGGATTCTGAGATCCCACACCCCTCCCCCTGCTACCAATGCATCCTCCTCTGGTGTCGGGTGAGGTTAATGTTTCCACTGAAGGTCTTCCCACACTTGCCACACTCGTAGGGCTTCTCTCCCGTGTGGGTCCTCCGGTGGAGGGTGAGCGAAAAGTTCCTGATGAAGGCCTTGCCGCACTCGCCGCACCTGTAGGGCTTCTCGCCAGTGTGGATGCGCTGGTGCTCAATGAGGTAGGCGCCCTGGCTGAAGGCCTTGCCACACTGGCCACACTTGTAGGGCTTCTTTCCCGTGTGGCCAGCCTGGTGTGCCACCAAGGAAGAACGCCCAGAGAAGTGCATCGGGCAGAGGGAGCACTTGTAGGGCTTCTCCCCAGTGTGCACGTACTGGTGCTCCCTGAGAGAGGAGTTCTTGCTGAAGGCCTTGCCACACTGGCTGCACTTGTAGGGCTTCTCCCTGGCATGGCTAGCCTGGTGCGCCACTAGAGACGCACGTGCAGCAAAGTGCACTTGGCAGATGGAGCACTCGTAGGGCCTCTCCCCAGTGTGCACACGCCGGTGCTCCCGGAGGGAGGAGTTGTGGCTGAAGGCCTTGCTGCACTGGCCGCACTTATAGGGCTTCTCGCCAGTGTGGCCAGTCTGGTGGGCCTGCAGGGACGAGCGCGCCACGAAGCGCTTCTGGCAGATGGAACATTCATATGGCTTCTCCCCGGTGTGCACGCGCAGGTGCTGAATGAAGAAGAAGTTCTTGCTGAAAGTCTTGCCACATACACTGCACTCAAAGGGCTTCACCCGCATGTGGACACGCTGGTGCTCGATCAGGCAGGCCTTCCGACTGAAAACAGTGCTGCACTGGCTGCACGCATATGGCCCCTCGCCCATGTGGGACCCGCGGTGCAGCATGAGTGAGGAGCTCTTGTTAAAGGACTTGCCACAGTCTCCACATGCAAATGGCTTCTCCCCGGTGTGCATCCACTGGTGCTCCATCAGGTGCACACTCTGGCTGAAGGTGAGCCCGCACATGGTACACTCATAGGGCTTCTCCCCGGTGTGTGTCCTCTGGTGAACGATGAGGGTCACGCTCCGACTGAAGGCCTTGCCGCAGTCACTGCATGTGAACGGCTTCTCACCAGTGTGTGTCCGTTTGTGCTCCCTAAGGTGCGTTTCCTGGCTAAAGGAACGCCCACACACGGCGCACACATGTGGCTTCTCCCCAGTGTGTGTCCTCTGGTGCACGATGAGGTGCTTGTTCTGGCTGAAGGCCTTGCCACAGTCCCCACACATGTATGGCTTCTCCCCAGTGTGTGTCCTCTGGTGCACAATGAGGTGCTTCTTCTGGCTGAAGGCCTTGCCACAGTCCTTGCACGCATATGGCTTCTCCCCAGTGTGCACGCGCTGGTGGATGGTGAGGCATGACTGCTGGGTAAATTTCTTCCCACATGTGACGCATGAGAAGGGCTTCTCCCCGGTGTGGATTCGTTGGTGCTTCTTCAGAGACGAGTTACAGTCAAAAGCCTTGCCGCAGGTACCGCATGCATACGGCTTCTCCCCAGTGTGCACCCGCTGGTGGATGGTGAGGGAAGACTGCCGGGTGAACTTCTTCCCGCAAGTGGGGCAACAGAAGGGCTTCTCGCCGGTGTGGATTCGTTGGTGCTTCATCAAACATGAGTTATATCTGAAAGCCTTGCCACAGTCCCCACACTCATAGGACTTCTCTGCATGAAGTTTGGAGGGAGGACCGAGGCTTGAAGTCCCTGAGTCTTTCCCACACGTGGTGAATGTGTGCGTCCCCACTCCTCTCAGTCCTTTTGATCTCAGTGGGGCCGGCAGGGGGCTTTGATGGTCCAATGCCTTAAATTCATGACACTCTGGGGCAAATGCTTGGGACATGTCCAACTGCCCCAGACAGGTCCCTGGGCTCCACTGCCGCCACCCCACCTGGTCACTCTGTGTCCCAGCTCCTTGACAGGGGGAAATGTTCCTCTGGGGTCCTTCTGCCACCACAACAGATGGTCTGTCTTCCCAAACATCCTGTGGGTCTGATTCTTTGACGTCAGGTCTAGTCTCCAAGCCTGAGGGGAGGGGGAAGAGATGACACACACATGTAATTAACCATGCTGGGAGGGAGGACTTTCCCAGGACAGGACAAGGCACAGCCTATCATGGAGCCAGAGAGAGAAGGGAAGCAGTGAGCTGAGACGGTGAGGCTGAGGGAGGTGAATAAAGAGCAAGAAAGGTCCTCTTGGGAGTGGGTGCAAAGGCGAAGAGCAGAGCTCAGAGTTAGGCAGATGGGCCCCCGGAGAGAAAGAGGAGGAAGGTGGGCTTGGAGGAGCAGATCGAGGCTCCTGCAAACCCAGTGAGGGCTCGCTGCGCCCAGCTCCTGGCTTCTGGGCTCCATCCTGTACTCTTAACAGCCACCTGTGCTTCTCAAACCATTGACCTTTATTATAAACGATAAAGCAGGAGCTGACACTCATGTGGGTGCTGGTTGTCCTCTGTCTCCCCACCCCTCAGCCAAGCTCTCACCTCCCTGCGCGCCCAGGAGCGGCCGGCCCTGGCAGCTGGGGCCGGACCACTCCTCTGCACACTTGTCCCTCCCTGCTGCCCACAGCCACTCCAGTCCCCTCCGTGTGTGTCCAGTGGATACCTCATCCCTATTTCAACCTAGCGGCTGTCCTGTGTTCTAGACTCTGCACATGGACATCAGAGTTCCTCCCAACATTTAAAAACTGTGAGATCTTACACAAAAATCTCATTAAAAAAGGGAAGATCTGGACACACAGAGCCCTCCTTCCTAGGAGGCAACAAAGAAAACAGGAGATGCTGCCCTGGCTTGTGTAGCTCAGTGGATTGAGCATCAGCCTGAGAACTAAAGGGTCACCAGTTCAATTCCTAGTGTAGGGCACGTGCCTGTGCTGCAGGCCAGGTCCCCAGTAGGGGGCACACGAGATACAACCACACATTGATGTTTCTCTCCCTCTCTTTTTCCCTCCCTTCCCCTCTCTAAATAAAATCTTTAGAAAATGGGAGAGGTAAACAGCTGTCCCTGTTCCCCACCTTAAGCCACCATGGGCCCCACAACCCCTGAGTCTGAGACCCCTGCCTCAATCAACGGAGCCTGGATTTCAGTCCCTTCTCTATGCTGACACCTAAATGGATGTCCTCCATCCAGACCCCCTCTGAGCTCTGCTGAGGAATAATCCAAGGCCTACTGGGCGCCCCCTTGGATATCACAATCCTAATGCATTTCATGTGAGTCTGTGATTTTGGAACCTCCAGTCCCAAATAACAAAAAGAAAGGCCCATCAAACAAACCTAGCACAATAAGCCAGATACACAAAGACTGATACCATACGATTCCATGCATATGGAGCAACGAGAATCATCAAACTGATAAGACACAGAAAGCAGGACGTGGGTGCTGGGACTCGGGGCAGTGCTGTTCAGGGGGACAGACGGTCAGCTGGAGACCGTTAGGGGTTCTTGAGATGGATGGTGCTGATGGTTGACCAACAATGTGAGGGTATTTAATGTCATTAAACTGTATACCTAAAAAGAGTTAAATGGTCAATTTTATGTTATGTATATTTTACAACCATTAAAAAAGTAAAATCTTCAAAATTTAAAAAATAAAAAAAAAGCTTTAGCAGCCATCCTTACCTCACCCCTTCTCTCCCACCATCCAGACACTAACAACTGCCGCCGCACGGGAGAGCAGCTTGAACTGGCCCAGATGGACGCACGGCCACCGCCGCCGATGCAGCAGCCCCCACCCCGCTCTCTACCACCCACGGTCCACTCCACGGGAAGAGGACGTCAGAGTCGGACCAAACCCTCCAGCACCTTCCCAGTACCCTGGGGACCAGAGGAAACACCTTCTCCCTCTTCCAACTTCTCTATACAGTCCAGCCCCACTTGTCCTTGTTTCCCTTTGATTTCCTTGTCTATGCCCAGTGCTTCTGGCCACAGGGCCTTTGCACCTGCCCTTCCCCAGGCTACCCTACAGGTGCTCATCCTCGAGCCCCAGTGAGCCTTTGTCCCCCACATGGGGGCCTTCTCTCTCCACCCTCCGGTGGAAAGGAAGCTCCCGCCTGCCTCTCTTGCCTGCGTCACAGTGAGTGATCATTACAGTGCTCTTACCCGTTCACTGCCAGCTCCCGCAGTGGGAGGTGAGCTCTGTGAAGGCAAGAGCCACGCTGGTCCCCAGCTCCCAGTGTCCGGCACATGAAAGGCACCTGATAAACTTTCACCAAGTATCAGCCACAGGTGGACATGGTACAAAATAGCCCTCACTGCAGGTGAACAGGTGCTGGTCGGATTGCACCCATTTTACAGATGGGGTAACCGGAGCTCTGAGAATGGAGCCACACCCACAAGGTCACCCAGCACATTCCATCATGCAGTCCAATTCCTGAGTCACTATGAGGCCACATGTCACTTCCCATCCCAGGTGAAAACATTTGACAAAGACGTTAGGTAGAAGAATGATCCTGGTTTTGTGACCATGAAGTGTGGGAAATGCCAGATGTCAGAGCAGGTGGTGGCCTGGGACATGGAGGCTGAGGATAACTTTCCACAGGGAACAGGTAAGGAGGGTGGCAGTAGATTTGGTTTGGGGCCAATGGGTCTGAGACAAGCTGGGATATAACTGGCCTGTGGCTGCAGAGATTAGAGAGCGAAGAGTTGTGAAAGTGGTCCGAACTGGACTTCCTCAAATTACAAACTCCTGCTCTTCAGCAAATGGTGCCGGGGCACGTGGGTATGCACGTTCAAAAGAGCGACAGGTTGTGATGGTCGAAGGTGATGTGACTCTGGGTGGTGGGTACACAGTGTAATAACGTACAGCTCACTTATCCTAGAAAATGTACACTTGAAACCTATACAATCCTATTAGCCAGTGTTACCCCAGTAAATTTAATTTTTAAAAAATGGTGCCGTTAGCTCCTTTTAATCATTCACAACAGTCAACTAAAAAGAAACAAAAGACCTAAATAAAGAGCTACAATTCTAAAACTCTCAGGAAAAACAGGAGTAAATCTTCATGGCCTTTGGTTAGCCAATGGTACCTCAGATATGACACCAAAAGCAGAAGCAACAAGAAAATAAAGCAACTGGACCCCATCACCATTAAAAAAGTTTGCGTTCCAAATGATGCCATTGAGGAAGAGAAAAGACCACCCATAGAATGGGAGAAACAGTTGCAAAGTACATATCTGATAAAGAACTGCCACTGAGAATAGACAGTAAAAGAATATGTAAAGAACTTTCAAAATTGAGTAATAAGGAAGCAAACAACCCACTAAATAAACAGGCAACAGACTTGAACCAGACACTTCACGGAGGAGAATACACCGATGAAAATAAGCACCTGGAAAGGTTCTCAGTATCAGCTACAAGCTGCAGTGGAGTAAGGCTGCCCGCCAAAGAGAACGGCTGCAATGAGAGAGACTGAGCACATTCAGTTCTTAATAAGCACACGGAGCAATGCAATTTTGGGCGCATGCTGGTGGAAATAAAAAACGAGACAATTGCTTTAGAAAAAAATTTGGCAGTTTCTGAAAAAGCTAATCATGCACCTACATGTGACCTAAACATTCGCAACAGAAAGGAGAGCACGTGTCTACAGAAAAATGTCTAGAACTGGAAACAACCAAACTGTTTATCATCAAGTGAATGGATAAACACATTGTGGTCTATCCATGAAGTAGAATATTACTCAGCAGTAAAAAGGAATGAATAATTTGAATCTCCTACATGTCGGATCTGTCCACCTTTTTTCTATTTCTGTGTCATCCTGAAGTGACAGGGGGAGAGTAACACAGTGAAGCTGCCCCCTTACCCAGTGAGACCAGGTTCCAGTAGGTCTCCATCATCACGTCCCTGTACAGGTCCTTCTGCGCAGGCTTCAGCTGCTGCCACTCCTCCGGGGTGAAGTCCACAATCACATCCCTGAACGCCACCGACCCCTGTAACAGGAAGCGCATGCCACTCACCACAGCACCCTCCTCATGGAGGTCGGGAGATGCGGCCAGCAGGGCCGAGAGGATCAGGAAGGCACGTGGGATGCGCCTGATGTGATATCAACAAGGTGCGGAGCTCTGAAGGGCCTGACCCCTCAGTGTCCTCGGCGCCTAAGTACACTGCATGGGCCCTGGATGGACAAGTAAAATATGGGGCTATTCACGAGGAAGACAAACAACCAAAATAAAAAATAGGCAAAGGACCTGAATAGACACTTCTCCAAAGAGGACACACAGACAGCCAACATACGTATGAAAAAATGCTCAACATCACAAATCATCAGAGAGCTGCAAACTAAACCCACAATGATATATCACCTCACATCTTTCAAACAGAAACTGCCGTAACGGACCTGGAATCTGGTCAACACCTTCGTGACAGGCCTGAGCAGTGGTAGTTCTCAGGAGTGTCCAGGAAGCTTGAAAGTGTGGTATGTGTTTAGGTCACTGGAGGGAGATTCCAGGTGGGGGCAGGTGGGTCAAGGCCTGATGCGTAAATGGCAGATGGAGCACTGAGGACGCAGACACCGTGACCCTACGTGTGAAATGAACGTGGCTCAGCACATGATGAATGGCGATGAAATTACATCATGATGACAATGTCATAACCAAAGCAGTAACGACACCTGTCACTCAATATGCAGTTGCTCCAGGCCAGGTCTTAGCCTAAGCCATGTTACTGGTTGAGTTTTGTGTTGAGTTCCTGTGCTGACGTGCTAACCCCAGCTCCTGGGGATGGGACCTGATTTGGGAACAGGGTCCTTGCAGGGGTACTGAAGTAAGATGAGGTCACACTGATGAAGGGTGGCCCGTAAGGCAACAGGACTGACCTCCTTATATAACGGAGAAATCTGGATGTAGAGATATGCATGCAGGGACGCATGTGAGGACAGGAGTTACAGTGCCACAACCACAGGACCAACAGAAGCTGAAAGAGACATCTGGAACAGACCCTTCCCTGGCCTTCAGAGGGGGCACTGCCCTGCCGACGTATTGGTCTCTGGCTTCACAGCCCTAGAACTGTGGGAAAACAGCTTCCCGTTGTTCAAGCCTCCCTTCTGTGGTGCTTTGTTAGGGCAGCCCCTGCAGCACAAGCAGAGTAGCTTTATCTTTTGTGGACTCCAAACCACGGCTCACCTGTCCCTAGAGGAGGAGGCTCCACCAGCTGGCCAATCCTTCCGTGTTCCAGGGGTCTGCCAGGGACTCTGGGCTCACGCTCACTTCCTCTGTGTTGGGTCAATGAGCAAGTGATGAGGGAGCAGTATGGGGTGGTCAGTGGTTGGCAGTCTGGGCTCGGGAGCCTGAAACAAAATTCTGGCTCTGCACTGCCCCTTCCAGCGCCATCTGCGTTTCCTCTGACAACGGTCTTAACCTTCCTGAGCCTCTTTGATCAATGGACACCCTAATAGCAACACCCCCGGCTCTGTAGCTGTTACGAGGCTAAATGGGGTCCCATTCATGTGATTCCAGTGTGCTACGGCTGCAGGAAGCTCTCAGAAATGGCAGCTACTGTTGATATCATTAGACTAATTGGACACATCATCTGTTTCTAGTTACCAATACTTAATATTATTATATTTGATTCTTTGCCCCACTCATCCTTTGGGAAAACATAGCAATAATTTGTTTAAAAAATTCTTCACTGAAAGATAGGTTTGTCAATTTAAGAGAGAGAGGAGAGAAAGAAACATCAATCAGCTGCCTCGCACAGGACAATGCTCCAAACAAGTGAACAACACGGCCAGCACAATAATTTCCTTTTTTTGTCACACTACTTGATTGAGGTATGACTGGCAAACAACAAGCTGCCCGCATTTAAGGCATAGGACGCGATAAACCTGGAAGTGCGTGCACGCCTTTGAAATCAGCACCACAATGGAGGCCACAAACTCATCCACCACCTCCCCAAGTTTCCTCCTGCTCACCTTTATTTTTATATTTATTTGACTGTAATTAAAAAAAATTTTTTAAACCTCACCCAAGAATATGTTTATTGATTAGAAAAAGGAAGGGAGGGAGAGAGAAACATCAATCAGTGCCTCCCATACATATCCCAACTGGAGATCAAACCCATTACCTAGGTAGGTGCCCTGACCGAGAATCAAACCTGCAACCTTCGGTATACAGAATGATTCTCCAACGAATGGCCAGAGCACACTGGTATTAATGATAAGAAATATAATTTTATATTATTATTATTTGACTCTTTGGCTCTATACATACTTTGGGGTAACCCAGCTAACATTTCTTAAACCACTTGATTGAGGTATGACTGGCATACAAAAAGCTGCATGTATTTAAGGCATACAACGTCATTAGTTTGGAAGAAAGTACATACCTTTGAAATCATCAACACTAACAAGACCATAAACTCATTTATCACCTTCCAAAGGGTCCTCCTGTTCTCCTTTAGTACTGTACTTACTTCATTTCAATTTTTAAAACATAACTCCTGCTGAAAGTCTTCCCTAAGTCTGTCCTGCCTGAATGAACTCACTCAGTGAAATTTTTACTGAGCAGGCTCCATGCACTGAGCCCGGGCTGGGAAATGCTGAAACCCAGAGACAATCCTGGGAGTCCTCGCTGTACAGCAAGGGTGTGGGAGGTGAGACACAGCGTTTCGCCTGACGAGGTTCCAGAGACTCCCCTAGAAATGGGGCTTCCCCCCGAGTTCGCCAAAGCCCTCTGAGGGCTCTGTGGACACGTGACTGAGGGCACTCATTCCAGGGCTCCATCTGTTTTGGATTCCTGTCTAATGGCACAAACTACTTCACCACAGCTCCAAAGACCCGAAATCAGGCTTGATTTTTTTTAATCTTCGCCCGAGGAAAGTTTTATTGATTTTAGAGAGAGAGGAAGGCAGAGTCAGAGAGAGAAAGACACACACACACACACACACACACACACACACACACACACACCGATCTGATTGCCACCTGCACATGCCACAATCACAAATCGAACCTGCAACCTTTTGGTACAAAGAACAATGTTCCAACCAACTGAGCCACCCGGCCAATGTATGTTTGTTTGTTTTTTTAATTAGAAGGTAATAACACTAGATGTAGTCAGAAATAAAAACTGAACCCCCAAATCCCAACCATACTGAAATGACAACCATCGGGAAATCCTAAACAATGCTGGTAAAATAGGAAACCAAGGCAACCATCACAGAGGTGACAGTGGAGACATCATGGTGCAGCCACGTAGGAAAACAGTCGAATTGTTCCTTAAATGGTTAAATGTATCATTATCAAAGGACCTACAAATTCTGTTCCTACACCCAAGAGAAATGAGAAGCTAAATGAATGTATACAGCAGCATTACTAATAACAACCAAAAAGAAGAAACAACCCAAATGTATACCATCTGATAAATAGATAAACACAAAACACATGGTCTACCTGTACAATGGAATAGTATGCAGTCATGAAAAAAAGACACCTGCTATAATGTATATGAACATCAAAAACATGATCCTTGGTGAAAGCAGCCAGACACAAAAACCACATGTTGTATGATTCCATTTACAATAAATGTCCATCCTTGGCTGGGTGGCTCAGTTGGTTGAAACATGGTTCATATATTCACAGGGTGTATGATCGTAAGGGTTTGATCAGGACATGTATGGGATGCAACTGGTTAATGTTTCTCTCTCACATCGGTGTTTTTCCTCTCTCACTCCCCCTGCCTCTCTTTCTCTCTAAAAATCAATGAACATATCCTGCTCTGGCCAGTGTGGCTCAGCAGTTAGAGCATCGTCTGTAACCAAAAAGTTGTGGGATCAATTCCAGGTCAGGACACATACCTCGGTTGCAGGTTCATGCACGATCTGGGCATAGGTGTGTGTGAACCCTAGTCTGTATACATACGATAGCCGTCCTGGCTTGGATCTCTGGTTGGGGTGCATACAGAGGCAACCAATTGATGCTTCCTTCACATCGATGTTTCTCTCTCTCCCTTCCTCTCTCTCTCTCAAAAAAAAAAAGCAAATGAAAATGTCCTCAGGTGAGGAATAAAAATAAAGAAATATCAACAAACATACCCTCTTGTGAGACTAAAAATTAATATTTATGCCCCATGAGAGATATATATAAATAATTTATTGATTTGAGAGAGAGATTTGTTATTCCACTCATTGAAGTATTCATCAGTTGCTTCTTGTACGTGCCCGGACCAGGAATCAAACCTGCAACTTTGGCATATCAAGATAATGCTCTAGCCAACAGAGCTCCATGGCCAGGACCAGGTATACATTTATTATTGTAAAGTATTTCTTGCATAGGAGAAAATTTAGAGAAAAATACCACAAATAGCTACCCACTAAAACACCATAAAACATCACAGCGAGTCAGGGATGTGCACGGATTCCTCCCAGTGTCCTCTTCCCACCCCCTGGACACTTAGTGCCATCTGCCCACTTCTGAGGGTTCCTCGACCAGCATGTGTTGCCCGGCGCCTCTAGGAGCCTTTGTCACATTTGACCAAACATGTTTAAGCCAATACCTCCCAGGTACCTGCTGGAGTCTCCTGAGAGCCCCCACGGTAGGACAGCTCACTCCTGAGCTCCCTGTCCCCTGTGTTGACAAAAGCCAGTGTCAGGACAGTACCCTTCCTCCTTAGGGTGGACAGAGCCCTACGGGACTGGGTCTGGGGCCTGAGCCCTGAGGGGAGTCAGGGAATGCAGAGGGTCATCCCTGTCCAGAAGCCTGGGCCTCAGGAAGGAGGCGCAAGAGGGTGACATGACTCACCAGGGCCTTGTCAGTTGGCTGCTGGGTGGCCATCTCTTCACTGCCCATGGGGACCATGGGACAGGCAAGCTGTGCACAGGGGGAGAAAGAGAAAGGCATAGTGAGAGGCCTGGTTGAGGCCCAACCCACAAAGAAGACAGGACAGACAGACACACCCACTAAAAGACAGGTGGACAGGGACAGGCATGCATGTTCATAACCAACGCCTGTGGCATCTAAGGCTCTCAGCAAACATCTCTGATTTAATCCCCATGACACCCTACAAGGTGGGGGCTACTTCCACTCACCTCATTTCACAGATGAGGAAATGGAGGCTGAAAGAGATAAACCACTTGCCTGAGATGACAGACATGATTAGAGTTGGGCTGAGTACCTTCAGGTCCACATGCTTGGTGCACGTCACACCCACACACTGACATTCCCCAACACACACGCACACGTGCACACTGCCAGTCCCACGGCTTGGAGGAGTAGGACCCGCTGTCCCCTCCCTGGGTCTGAGTGCTGATGCCAGAACACACCCCAACAACGCCACCGCCCCCAGGGCTTCCACAGATCTTGTGCGGTTATCGTGGGGCTCAACAAACACACACATGTAGGGAGCCTGGAGCCCTGTGGCACACAGTTAAGATCTCTGTCCTGCCCTGGCAGGGCTGCTCCGCTGGAGCATCTCCCCAGGCATCGAAGTGTTGTGGGTTTGATCCCTGGACGGGTGTGTTTGGGAGGCAACCCATCCATATTTCTTTCTTTCTAAAATCAACAAATACACAAATGATGTTTATTGTAGCACTGTTCCTAGAAGCGAAACACCAACCAATGAAAAGCAAAACATGAGTAAGGGTATAGAAGACCAGGCACCCAGCCTGAAATTGCAGGTCACCTCCAGGAAGCGGAAGTGATGTTATGCCCTTGGGGACAGTGACTTCATGATCTTGTAAAGAGAAAGTATTTTTACAAATGTATTCTTTATGGACTTGTGGTTTCTGACTCCTATCCCTGCACCAAAAGGAAACAACACGTGCTCTTTTTGCCAGTCGAAGAAGCTACCAGAGCCAACTCACCCAGGAGGCACAGCGGGCCTGGGGCTCCTGAGACCTGTAAGGGCCCTGGAAAATATCATCATTTTTTTTTAAGTTATAAGAGAGCCCTGGCTAGGTAGCTCCATTGGTTAGAGCACTGCCCCTTACACCAAGGTTGTAGTTTTTGATCCCCAATCAGGGCATATGTAAGAATCAAGCAATGAATGCATAAATAATTGGAGCACAAATTGATTTCCTCTTCTTCTCTCTCTAAAATCAATACATTCAAAAAATTTTTTAATAAAATAAAGTTCAAGGAGAAAAAGCAAATCTAATCAAACCTGGACTATATTTGCCCTTTAGCAATACAATGACAACTACAATTTTTACTTTTACTTAAAGGAGGCCATGAAGACACAATGGCCCTGGAAGTGGCATGTGCACGGGGCTGGTGACCTACGAACCCAGTGTGGCCTCATATTTGTGGCTGCAGCGCGAGGGGTGGCTAAATGTTGGGGCTCTGGAACCCGGATGCCTGGGTTTTGAGTTAGGTGATTCACTTAAAGTCTGAGCCTCAGTTTCCCCATCTGCAAAATGGGGGTGACGAGGGTCCCCACCTCAGAGTTACTGGGAGGCCTATGAAATGCCTAGAATGATACCCTGAGCTTCCAACACACCCTCCCTGAACAAAATCCACCCCAGTCAGCACAGTATCGGAGCCTCAGACACTTTCTTAGGCCGCACTTGGCCACCACACACGTCCCGCCCTCCCGGGGCCCGGGGAGGCTCCGAGAGGAGGACGGCTGGGCTCTGAGTCCCGCAGGCAGGCAGCTCCGGAGGGCACCCCCGACGCGCGCGCGCACGTCAACTCTGCCCAGAGACAGAGGCGCAGGGGCGCACAGACAGGGGGAGGCTCGGACAGGAGAGGCGCAGCCCCACGCGCACAGACACACTCACACCTGACACACAGACCGGCGCCGAGGAAGAGACGAGACGCAGGGGGACCCCTGGACGGCGCCCTCACGCTGAGACGCCGCGGACGGAAACAAAGGCAGACGCGCACACGGACGTGGACACTGAGGGACCCCGGAGAGACCGAGACGGGCAGCCGACACACACACACGCAAAGGCGAGACACAGGAGGCCACCGAGACAGACGCGGTGACACACACGGACGCACACTCACAGCGACAGCCCGAGAGTCCCAGTGCAACACACACACGGCCACAGGCATCACCTTCACACGCACGACCCTCCCCGATCCGCACTCCCTCCCGAGCCCACACGCCCCTTCCACGCACCCGCACCCCGTCTCCTCCCGTGGCCGCTCCGTCCGCAGCCCGACTCACGCGCTGCTCCCTCAGGAAAACGACCGGCTCCCCCTAGGCCCCCGGTCGCAGTGCGCCTGCGCAGACGGCGGACTACACTTCCCAGAACTCCGCGCGCCCCCCGCCCCCTCCTCTCTGGACTCCCCGACCGAGCGAGCGCTGCCAAACTTACCCAAACCCGGGAAGCCATCGCTGGGCTCCGTCCCCAGAGGTCCTCGCGGCACAGCGTCCAAGAACCGGGGTTCCTGCGGGATCGGGGGGGAGGGCGCGCGCTGGGGCGGGGAGAGGAAGACGAGAGAAAGTGCAGGGATGGAGTGGACAGCGGGAATGGGGGTCTGGAAAGGGGAAGAGAAGGAGAAAACCGTAGAGGGAAGTTGGGGAGCAGGGACTGCCAGGAAGGGAGGGAGGACGAGGGTCACCCAGGAAGCTCAGCTTGCTCCGGGCCGCTGTCTGGCTTCAGTCTCCCGCTTGCGGCCGGGCGCCACCTTCGGCCAGGCCGCTGCCAGGGCCCAAGGTCCGACGAACTCACCGGCTAGTACGTCCCCCCAGGTGGGGAAGAGAGCGTCCTTTTCTTCCCCTGCATTTACATTAGTTTCAGATGCGCTAATTAACTTCCCAGACTTTCGCAAGCTTCGGGGAGGTCTAGCCCCTAACCCCCACCAATCCCTTCTTTCCCCGGGCTAGGATGACAGACACCCAATCCTCTTTTTCCCCCCAGACTACACTGACAGGCCTCTTCTGTCGAGCACCTCCCACGGCCTCCATTCTGCCATTCCTTGGCGCCTTTGCCTGTCTTCCCCTGGTCCCAACCCAATTAGGTATCTTGCTAGCCTTGCAGGTGCCCAGTGCCCTACTTTTTCCTGCCACCATCTTGCTGGGGACGAGGGCATCTGCCACCCAGAGTTGGAAGCTCCATACCTGTGGTGGGAAGTTGGGCTGCCGGAGGGCGCGGGGGGTGAGTGGGGAGTGATGCAGGGGAGGGTAACAGGCGTGTGTTACCGAACAAAAGGACCCGTGGAGGGGGGGGTGGCCAGATGCTGTTACCGAAACAACGACACCCTCCTTCCCCGGGACCCCTCGGTTGTGGGTCCTTTGCCCGCCGCCCTTGGAATTATGGCTCTGAATGGCAGAGTTTGGTGAAAAGGAAAAGGAACGATTTATTCAAAAATTATACAGGTTTGATGAATGGCTAAATGTCACCCTTAAACCTCCAAATCCCTTCGAAACAACCACCAGCACACACACCGTCCTGCCTTCCCCACTTTGCCCAGTCAGGCCAGTCAGGGGCACCGTCCTTCAGAAGAGAAAGAACAGAGTCCGGGGCTCGGCTGGGCAGGCCTCTCGGGGGTCTCAGCACCATCTGCTGCGTCACCGCGATCTCCAGCTCCTAATCCGTAACCACGTGGCACCTTCTCCCGGCCCACGAGCAACAGTCCTTTCTCCCCTCCTCCCCGCGAGGTCTTCACACTGCTCCCCAGAGTCTGTGTCCCTTTGTCTTTCCTGCAGGCCCATGTCTCTCCTCTCTCTCTCCCAGTTACATTCTGTATAAAGTCTTTAAAACCTTCCTGATTAGCTTTGGTGATATGCAAAATAACCCTCTTTGCATATGAGGAATGAAGCTATCCTGTCACTGACATACAAAGTGACTCTCAATGGCCCTACTCAAGGCTCCCATCCCCCATGGCAGCCCACCCTGGGGTGGGGAGAATATATTTTTCTTGGACACCCCAATCTCTGGACCCTGTTACAAATACCCTTGAGGCGGGGGGCCCTGGCTGTGCCCCGTTACATGTGCACGGAGCTTTGGAAAGGCAGGAGCTCGGGTCACTACCTCACCTTGGACGGGTTGGCTCGAATCTCCCTTGGCGGTCCCTTCTGTTCCTGTCCTCTACCTGCTCCCAGCGATCTGCCCCGCTGTGGGTATCATTAAGATGCACAAACTCATTTAATCCTCGCAACCGTGCTACTTTCCAGATGAGGGCAGTGATACAGACGAGGGAGGTAAAAGGAGAGGAAAATGGGGTGGCGGGGGAGGGGTGGGGGGCAGGAGTTGGGTTGGGAAAGAAGTCTCCTGGCTGGGGCCCTCCTACACCATAAGCCACAAAACCGAGAGCAAAAGCATCTGCTGAATGTCTGAGGGGCCAGAAAAAGGCCAACAGCAGCCGGCTTAGGTGGTGGTGAATGATTTCTCTTCCCTCCCTCCCTCCTCACTTGAAGATATGTTTATTTATTTTAGAGAGAGATTGAGAGAGAAAAACTACTGTCAGATAGCAGTACTGTAATGGTACAGCTAGGTCCCCGCAGGGGGATTTGTAATGGGGTCCAGATATTGGGGTGTCTAAGAAAAACATAGGATATTCTCACCACTCCCCTCCAAGGTGGGCTGCCAAGGGGGATGGGAGACAGGGAGCAGGGCCATTGAGAGTCACTTTGCACATCAGTAACAGGCCGAGGACCATTGCGGGGAGAGGACCATTGCGGGGAGACGTGGGGGACATGACTGCTGGCGTCAAAGGCCAGGTTAAGTGCCTGGCAAGGCCAGCTTGACCACTTGCATCTGCACACCAGAGCAAGCTGGTAGCTGACTGCAGCCCGAGCCCGCGGGGGTTGGGAAGGAACTAGTTAACCGCAAACTTCAGCTGAATGCAACCGCAGCCTTGGCAGAAGAAAGTTTTATCATTTAGGCAGCGTGGGAAACGAATAATCTCCTGCAGCTGCAGAAACGTCCTTGAGCTTCATGTAACCAACCCCTGTAAAATAAACGCGGAGGCTGTGGTCATTGTCA